GTTGGTTCCCATTCCCTCTAATGACCTTTTTGTAAGTTGAATGTTTCACTGTTTCTTGCCAATGTGATGATGAAGAAGATGATGGCACAATGAAATTGGGTTTCTTTTTGTGTTTCAGTGTCGAATAGAACTAGAGAAAACCAGATTGTTGGTTCTGGAAGCTGCAGACCAGCTTGATCGCCTTGGAAACAAAAAAGCTCGGGGGACTTTAGCAATGGCCAAGGTATCTCTATCTCTATGGGTTTAGATTTTGGTTTTTCATAATTTCTCTAGTTGATATCGATAAGTAGCCGAATTTGTTGATTCCTATTCAAACGGTTTTGGTTGCCCATCGAGCAGGTAGCAGCCCCGAATATGGCGTTGAAGGTGCTCGACATGGCTATGCAGGTGCATGGTGCTGCTGGGGTATCTGGTGACACTGTTCTGGGTCATCTTTGGGCTACAGCAAGGACATTGAGAATTGCAGATGGTCCTGATGAAGTCCACTTGGGGACCATTGCCAAATTAGAATTACAAAGAGCTAAACTTTGAGAGATTCAGAAAGTGTAGATTTCAATAAGCAACATGTTTCAAACACACAAATAAAAAAAATGCAGAAGTTTTCAAATATCATCATAATCAGATATGAGAGGGGTATGTTGTTTGATCGCACTGTAAAATTAGTACTTCACGTTTATGATTTGTGTACAATAAGAATCAAAGCTGATTACTTTGGATCGAAATACTACTGAAAAGATATAAGCAAGGATCAAAATTTTGAGATTGAAATGAATTAGTGATGAAATCAAAATTTTAATATTTGAAGGTATTTCATAATGTTTTGTAATATTTTAATACATTTTTACAATTGTTTCGGAAAGTTTTAAAGTATTTTAAGATATTTTAGTATATTTCGATTAATGTTTTGAAAAAATAGTTTTTAAATTTTTTATTTTTTTCATTCTGTTTTTAAAACGGGTCGAAATGTTTTTGAAATTTATTCATACGTTTTTGTTTCTTAAGCGACTGAAATAATATATCGAAATGAAATTTTAATCCTTAGAAATACGATGTACTAATTTAGAAGGCAATAAGAGTGGATGCTTGGTTGTTTGAGAGGAGCATTACCCTTTTTTTCCCCACAAAATATTAAAAAATAAAACTGAAAATGTCTCTCTTGTCTGCTACACCACAACCACCACCACCCTGCATATATAAGAATTAGTGCATAGAAAGAAAGATATCTATATATGTGTAGGGATTGTATGTGTTGTGTATATAGGTGTGCATGTATTCATCTATATGTTAAACAAATATCTATACTACTTATAAAAGTGATTAACAATGAAAAATTTTTGATTTTCTCTTTTACCCTCGGTTAATATTATAAAGCCTATTATATCCCTCCTACCCTTTTAACTTCTTAAATTAAATATATAAACCTCTCATATTTCATGATCTTCTAAAATTAATTATATTCGTAAACATCTATATTTATACTACTTATAACCTTATTTAATTTTTTTACTACCAATCATGTCATATTACATTATATAATATCTATTCAATATTGCACCAAATCAACTGCAATCATTAGATCAGTAATAGAATTTACTGATCCAACGGTTGCAAGAGATTTGATGCAAGATTTGGTGCAAATAACATTGTTCATATTATATTATCTATCTATACTATTTATAAACGTCAATACTTGTACAAAACTTTTGATTGACAATAATGTCATTAAAATATGCTAAAAATCAAATAATATCATTTTGTGTTAATTTTTCACTAGCCAGAAGTTTTTCTTGTGTGTTACTGTCAATTAAAGAGACATAACTCTTAGAGTTTCATAACTCAAATTCTTTTAGACGTGCAATTTTTATGCTTTTTTATTTATTCTCACATTTTTATTTATTCTTATTTTTATTTGACAATTTTTTTATGTTAATTTTGAGTAGCTGGTTTCAAGTAACACAAACAACAATAGTACTATTTGTTGAAAGCACATAAGATTATTGTATCCACAATGATGAATTATGTCATTCATTACTCAAAATATCAAACTTAAGTTCGGCCACATTAATTTAGAAATTAAACATTGTATAAATTTATAAGAACTAAGTTGTTGGTGCGACAATAATTAAATTATGTACTTGATAAAACAATTCTAGAATACATCATTACATATAAGTTTTATTAAATTATATTTTGATTCATAAGTATATATTTGTTAATATATTTATTTGATTATTTCGTAATAGATATGATCTTAATTAAAATTAAGATAAAGCTATAATACATATATCCGCCACCAATTGGAACTTGAACAATTTCATGTCTTTCATATTCTCGCTTCTTTTACAATTATGTTATGGACCAAGAAATATGAATTAATCATGTAGCATAAAATGTTTATTCATAACATGCTCGATCCAAGTCTTTTGAACAAACAATTTTATGAAATATTTTTTTGAAGTGTTTTGAAGATGCTTCGACATTAGCTATGCATTTGGTCTATTTATTAGAAGATTACTTTTTTTACATTTTACATATGAAAAATCAGTAGACACAATTATTGACATATTTGTAAGTAGCGGGCAAAACTTTAATTGCAAATTTCATTGGTGATCATATATTTCGATTTGGAGAAAACTAAAAATAGAAATTATAATTTAAAATTATCAGCGTGCAATGCACGCGTTCATCAACTAGTAATAAGAAAAGACATAGAGTAGAAATCAATAACTAAAATTTCGTTTTAGTGCATTGTTTATGTCACTTAAAAAATAGAAATGTTTCGAAAACAAAATGAAAACTGAAAAAAAATTGGGAATTTTTTTTCAAAATATTTTGAAAGATTGATCGAAATATACCAAAATATCTTAAAATATATTGAAATATTCCAAGACAATGATATAAACATGTTGAAATACCTCAAAACACTTTGAAGCATTGGTGTTTCGATTCAATCACTGATTTATTTCAATCCCCTTAAAAATGAAAACGTTTCAACCGTTTTGAAAAAGAAATTTTGATCCTTACTAGAAATTAGTTTTGAAATTTTCATTAAATGTGTTAGGCAATTTATTTCAGATGAAACTTTAGATGGTATATCGCAACTAGGTCCTTACTTAAAGGAGCCAAGGTGTAATTTATCCTAACTTGAATCAAGATTTTTGTTTCTGCCCCATTCCCAGGTTTAGAGAGGAAACTATACCATGGCCTAAATGGGCCGTGACCCCTCTTAGGTATCAAAAATTAAAATTTTCACCCTCGATTTTGTGCAATTTTTTATTTGGGCCCATTAAGTTTTTGATAATTTTACATATTCAAAATCTGTTACAATCAAAAAAGAAAAAAAAAAAATCTAATCATACTATAAGACACTTATGATTTCAATCAATTTCACTTAATAATAGATCGTTTAACCATACACAATGGGTGATATACCATAATGTAAAATAATTGAAAGTGTAACATAAAAGATCTCAATCCTCTTAACTTTTATATAACCTTCTTCCGAGCAATGTTATAGAGACCTAATTTGGGTATTTAATCTGAGGACCTAATAATGTGGCTTCAACATAACTATTAGATTAATTGTGAGTTTCAATGTTAGATGAAGCTCGTTACTGATCCAATGATTATATTAAATTAGGTCCTCAAATTAAGTCTAAATAACATTTTCACTTTCAATATATCTTGAACTTCCTTAAACTCTAAACACTCTTTTCCCATGAAATTTATTGATATCATAATAACTTGAGCTGATCTTAAAATAGTAATGCTAGTGGCACATAATTTGGAGATTACATGATTGTGACCATTAAATTATCAATGTGTGTCAACATTAAATTATCAATGGATCTAAAATACTATCAATCCAATTATCACAATGCATTAAGTTCCTAAATTATGTCTCAATATCATTAGCGCTTAAAAAATGCATGAGAAACAAAAATAATTTATATTCATTAAAGGTATACATTAAATTACATCCTCATCCCCCTTTACACTTTTTCTCTTTTTTTTGATGCTAATAATCCCCCCTTTACACTTCCATCTATGTGAAGTACTCTTCCTTCATAATAGCAGTTATTTCTTCTTCTCATATTCAATTTAGTATCCATAGTAAATGTTCAACAGACTTGTAAGTTACATTAGACCCTTATTTTGTATTCATAGAAAACAAAAAAAACTCAATACTTGACTGTTCATTTCCACCCTTAAATTGGTTTTGGAGTGCTCTCATTTGTTTAAGCCAAATGGACTATTAAAGTCAAATTTATCCTTATTCAAGAGTTATTGCTCTAGGTTTTATTTAGTACTGCATACGTTAATAAAAGTCCTAGCAGACTTCTCTATTTTCCATCGTGAACTCTCCTCTGACTTCTCTCACGACGCTTTGTAGGCATCACTTTTCTCTTTCTGTTCTCACATCAGCATAAACAGAAGAAGAAAGGCATTAATCATTGCGACGGGTGCCTCTATCTCAAGGAGTGGTAGTAGAGAGACACAGCAATAGGTCCAAAGTAGATTGTATTAATTTAATTGGGAAGAATGGAGAATGAACCCTATGAAATTCTGCTGCTGCTTTGTCGTCGATGCGGCAAGCCTTTAACACCTAGATCTGTGTACCGAGGCATTTTAGATGCTTCTGTATATGTCTGCTCTAAGATGGTACATCGCAACTAGGCAGTGACCCCACTTAGATATCAAAAATTAAAATTTTCACCCTTGATTTTGTGCAATTTTTTATTTGGCCCATTAAGTTTTGATAATTTTACATATTCATATTCTGTCACAAATCAAAAAATCTAATCACAGTGAAAAACACTTATGCTTCAATCAATTCTATTCAATGATAGATCGTTTACCTATACACCATGGGTCATATACCATCGTATGAAATAATTGAAAGTGTAATGTAAAATATTTTAATCTTCCTAACAAAATAATTTATATTCAAATCATATTTCATTAATGGGTACAGATTAAATTATATCCACATCCCCCCTTTACACTTTCATCATGCCAGAATCATAAGGAATGCCAGTGGGCTTAATCCAAGCATCTCCTTCAATGTATTGTCCTGGAGTGAAACCCATAGCTGCTTGTGGAGTTAGCTTCTTAATACCCTTCCATGTCACTCTCGTCGCAAGGCCAGCACCAGGTCCTCTGTTGTTAAACTCAGCATAGAAGCATGTGTCAAGTCCAAAAGTACCAACCCATGGTGCCCAACCTGTAGGATCAATGGTGCTATCAATGAAAGACTGCATGACAATGGTTCTCGAGAATTCCTTCCATGGCCGTCCGAGGTAGGACTGGAACTGTCCTTTGGCGGCGATGAATGCCGGCTCAGCCGTGATGTAGCAGTTCTGGAGGACAATAGCGCCTAGTCCACGCTTGTCTTTTCTTCCTTGGGCTGTGACCATGCAGGCCTGGTTGTCCATTGGCTTTCTGACGATCATCTTGCAGTTTTGGAAGACAGAGGCAGCGTCGCCGAAGATGAAGTCAATGGTGCCGGTGATGGTGCAGTCACGGTAGAATTGGCGGTAGGAGTGAGCGTAGAGGGTGTCTTGGTAACCGTCCAAATTGCAGTTGTAGAAGATGGCCATGTCGGCTGACACACGAAGTGCCACGGCTTGGTGCTTGATTGCTCCTGCGGAGTTCTCGAATCCAATGTCCTTGGCAATGAAATGATCTCCATTCACGGCTGTCATTTGAATATAACAACATCGATCATTACTTTCCAATAAGATAGATGGCAAGTTCTATCAATTTATGAGAAAGATGAGGAAGGATTGACTTACCAACTGTTGCAGTCTTGTAAGTGCCAACTCCATCGACGTAGTTCTTGTTCCCGGTGATCCTGGTTTTGGTTGGACCTTCTCCGAGGAACATAACATTGTTGGTGCGCCTAGGAATGTCAATATACTCATTATAAACACCAGCCTTAATGAAAATCACAAAGGTCTGGTTGTTTTTCTGTGGGACAGCCTTCAAAGCATCATTGATTGTCTTATATTGTCCACTGCCATCCTTAGCAACCACCGCATTGGGTTTGATCGTCGCCGGAGTGGCCTGGAGGAGCATCTTCTTGTTTCCAGAATTGACCCATGAAGGATAATCATTATCAGAGTCATCAGACAAGAGACGACGGTTAAGACCCGGGATTTGCAAGGAAGAAAGGAGCTGGGAAAGCTCGGAAACCATGGCAAGACCGTTGCTCGAGAGCTCTGCAGAGGTTTTCAAAAGCTTCCTCATTTTCTCGCCTGAGTCGCCGGTGGTGTTTTCGAAACCATCCAAGCAAGTCTCTTGGTAGGTGATGGAACCACTGAGCCATACCTTGAGATCTGCAACGTAATCATCCATCTTGCTTGCGTCAAATTCACTGACCTTATCGAAAGATCTCTTGAGATCGTCAATGGAGGTGTCCAAAAGCTCTTTGCAAGTCTCANTATTGGTCGAAATATATCGAAACATTTTAAAACTCGTTGAATCATTCCAAAACAATGGTGGAAACATTTAAAAATTGTAAGAATTAATGTGGCCCACATGGCGCTTGTGATTTTACCAATTATTATCCGAAAATTAATTTGGGTTAGATAATAATAAAATTACCAATCCTTATTTAACCGATTTTTGAGTTACACCAAATGATGTTCAAGTCTTAATCAAATAATTCTAGGTTAGTTATTATGGCTTCCGATATTTTAATTATAATGTTTTAATTTTGCATGATGATTATTATGAGTATGTAAAAATCATGATTAATCCAAATATTAAAATTAGGATTTGATTTATCTCTTTTATCAGAGCCTGTGTTATGAACTCTCGCAGTTTTCCATTAAAGAAACATTAATTAAATACTTTATGTTGTCGTTCCTTTGTCAAACCGCAGCTGTTAGGATTGCTTGTAATTTGAATTCTTGATTGGTATTTAACCCTTCTCATGTCTTCACCTTATATAACCTACAGTGCAGCATGTGAAGACAAAAGAATGGTAACTCACATTTGTTTACAATTTTTATTATTTATGACGTAATTGATTGTTGTCAATTATTTTATTTATTATTTATTCAATCTATGGGTCATCTACATAATTGTGCATTGAATAAAAAAATAACTCTGACCACAAAAAAATAAATAAATAAATAAATAACAGCTCAGATTTGCGTCTAATTTTGATGGATTTTGCTTTAACAGTGTTTGTAACTAAATATCTCTATTTAATATTTTATGTGTGCTGTAATTATGGGGTAGTATTTTATGATAACTGATGCCTATAATTTATNGTGGCCTGGAGGAGCATCTTCTTGTTTCCAGAATTGACCCATGAAGGATAATCATTATCAGAGTCATCAGACAAGAGACGACGGTTAAGACCCGGGATTTGCAAGGAAGAAAGGAGCTGGGAAAGCTCGGAAACCATGGCAAGACCGTTGCTCGAGAGCTCTGCAGAGGTTTTCAAAAGCTTCCTCATTTTCTCGCCTGAGTCGCCGGTGGTGTTTTCGAAACCATCCAAGCAAGTCTCTTGGTAGGTGATGGAACCACTGAGCCATACCTTGAGATCTGCAACGTAATCATCCATCTTGCTTGCGTCAAATTCACTGACCTTATCGAAAGATCTCTTGAGATCGTCAATGGAGGTGTCCAAAAGCTCTTTGCAAGTCTCAAATGCTTGAGAGGTTCTTGGGTCCTTGGCTGCTTCTTTAAGAACAGAAGAGCTTTTAATGGCGTCACCAATGTGGTTTATAGTTACCTGGAAAGCCAACTTGATTAGCTCTTTAGGGTCGGTAGTGTTCTTGGCGGAGGAGAGGCTGTTGATACATGTTTCCTTGTAATCTGTAGATTGGCAGATGGCAGTGACTGCCTTGTTGCTGGTGGATATCTCACCATTACCCGTGGAGCCACCAGCGGGGGCTCCAGCGTTCTTGTTGTTGATACCAACCGCCACTGCCACCACCATTGCAACTAGGAGAACTGAAGAGAGACCAATAATGGTAACCTTCTTCTTCCCTGAACCATCACTATACCCCATTTTGATTTACTATGTAAATCTATGAAATATTTATTTTTTCTCTTTCTATAGGTAAGAGACAGAAAAAGAACTAAGCTCTTGGGGTTCTCTCTTTGTGTAGAGTCTTTGAAACCCCTTGGGCTCTGATTTCCAATGGGTGATAGGTGACCTTTATATAGTTTTCAGATTAGATAGGAGAGAGAAATATAAGCCACGAAATGAAAAGAGGGTAAATTTCTGTTAGAAAATGTAAGGTTCAGAATTCCAACAAAATATAACTTTGTTAGGTTTGGTTTTTATCGGCAAAAATTATATTGTGCTATTTACGGGAGGTTGAATTTTTAATTGTTCTAATTATAGTATTATTGACTTTTGTCAAATCTATTGAATATTTTATTTAGGATAAATAAATCTTTTAGGGGTAAATAAATCTCTTGAATTTTAGATTAGGCCAATGAAACATTTCAAGTCTTAGCGGATTTGTGTCAAAAAATAGTTCACTTATATATGATTTATTTATTAATTCATGTTTTATGAACTGTATTATATCAGTTTCGTGTCATGTATTAATCGTATATGCAGGAGCTGATGTTCTGTGTGTGTGTGTGTGTGTACATAGGAGTGCATGTATTCATCCATATGTTAAACAATTATACAAAGAAAAGGCTAAGAGTAGAAGGACTAAAATTTCGGTTCAATGCATTGTTTTGGTTAGCTAAGAAATAAAAATATTTCGAAAACAAGATAGAAATTGAAAAAAAAATTGGGAATTTATTTTAAAATTATTATAAATATTGGTCGAAATATATCGAAACATTTTAAAACTCGTTGAATCATTCCAAAACAATGGTGGAAACATTTAAAAATTGTAAGAATTAATGTGGCCCACATGGCGCTTGTGATTTTACCAATTATTATCCGAAAATTAATTTGGGTTAGATAATAATAAAATTACCAATCCTTATTTAACCGATTTTTGAGTTACACCAAATGATGTTCAAGTCTTAATCAAATAATTCTAGGTTAGTTATTATGGCTTCCGATATTTTAATTATAATGTTTTAATTTTGCATGATGATTATTATGAGTATGTAAAAATCATGATTAATCCAAATATTAAAATTAGGATTTGATTTATCTCTTTTATCAGAGCCTGTGTTATGAACTCTCGCAGTTTTCCATTAAAGAAACATTAATTAAATACTTTATGTTGTCGTTCCTTTGTCAAACCGCAGCTGTTAGGATTGCTTGTAATTTGAATTCTTGATTGGTATTTAACCCTTGTCATGTCTTCACCTTATATAACCTACAGTGCAGCATGTGAAGACAAAAGAATGGTAACTCACATTTGTTTACAACTTTTATTATTTATGACGTAATTGATTGTTGTCAATTATTTTATTTATTATTTATTCAATCTATGGGTCATCTACATAATTGTGCATTGAATAAAAAAATAACTCTGACCACAAAAAAATAAATAAATAAATAAATAACAGCTCAGATTTGCGTCTAATTTTGATGGATTTTGCTTTAACAGTGTTTGTAACTAAATATCTCTATTTAATATTTTATGTGTGCTGTAATTATGGGGTAGTATTTTATGATAACTGATGCCTATAATTTATAGCCATATTTTTTATTAGTCGCATCAGTGATGTGATTATAATTATCGGTGTGGATAATTAATCCTGCACTGTGATCAACCGGTCATATATTAGGCAAAGCATAATGTATTGGCCATATTAAAGGGCCTTAAAAAAAAAAAATTATGACTTCTGATTACACGCACAGATCATAGAACATTGTGTCATACATTGCCAGTGGATATTGTGATATTTGATGATACGTCAAACAAGTCCTACTTGTGAGCTCAGAAATGAAGGTCAGGTCAGGAGGTCATGAAAGATATGAAAAACTCAAAGAATNTATAGTTACCTGGAAAGCCAACTTGATTAGCTCTTTAGGGTCGGTAGTGTTCTTGGCGGAGGAGAGGCTGTTGATACATGTTTCCTTGTAATCTGTAGATTGGCAGATGGCAGTGACTGCCTTGTTGCTGGTGGATATCTCACCATTACCCGTGGAGCCACCAGCGGGGGCTCCAGCGTTCTTGTTGTTGATACCAACCGCCACTGCCACCACCATTGCAACTAGGAGAACTGAAGAGAGACCAATAATGGTAACCTTCTTCTTCCCTGAACCATCACTATACCCCATTTTGATTTACTATGTAAATCTATGAAATATTTATTTTTTCTCTTTCTATAGGTAAGAGACAGAAAAAGAACTAAGCTCTTGGGGTTCTCTCTTTGTGTAGAGTCTTTGAAACCCCTTGGGCTCTGATTTCCAATGGGTGATAGGTGACCTTTATATAGTTTTCAGATTAGATAGGAGAGAGAAATATAAGCCACGAAATGAAAAGAGGGTAAATTTCTGTTAGAAAATGTAAGGTTCAGAATTCCAACAAAATATAACTTTGTTAGGTTTGGTTTTTATCGGCAAAAATTATATTGTGCTATTTACGGGAGGTTGAATTTTTAATTGTTCTAATTATAGTATTATTGACTTTTGTCAAATCTATTGAATATTTTATTTAGGATAAATAAATCTTTTAGGGGTAAATAAATCTCTTGAATTTTAGATTAGGCCAATGAAACATTTCAAGTCTTAGCAGATTTGTGTCAAAAAATAGTTCACTTATATATGATTTATTTATTAATTCATGTTTTATGAACTGTATTATATCAGTTTCGTGTCATGTATTAATCGTATATGCAGGAGCTGATGTTCTGTGTGTGTGTGTGTGTACATAGGAGTGCATGTATTCATCCATATGTTAAACAATTATACAAAGAAAAGGCTAAGAGTAGAAGGACTAAAATTTCGGTTCAATGCATTGTTTTGGTTAGCTAAGAAATAAAAATATTTCGAAAACAAGATAGAAATTGAAAAAAAAATTGGGAATTTATTTTAAAATTATTATAAATATTGGTCGAAATATATCGAAACATTTTAAAACTCGTTGAATCATTCCAAAACAATGGTGGAAACATTTAAAAATTGTAAGAATTAATGTGGCCCACATGGCGCTTGTGATTTTACCAATTATTATCCGAAAATTAATTTGGGTTAGATAATAATAAAATTACCAATCCTTATTTAACCGATTTTTGAGTTACACCAAATGATGTTCAAGTCTTAATCAAATAATTCTAGGTTAGTTATTATGGCTTCCGATATTTTAATTATAATGTTTTAATTTTGCATGATGATTATTATGAGTATGTAAAAATCATGATTAATCCAAATATTAAAATTAGGATTTGATTTATCTCTTTTATCAGAGCCTGTGTTATGAACTCTCGCAGTTTTCCATTAAAGAAACATTAATTAAATACTTTATGTTGTCGTTCCTTTGTCAAACCGCAGCTGTTAGGATTGCTTGTAATTTGAATTCTTGATTGGTATTTAACCCTTCTCATGTCTTCACCTTATATAACCTACAGTGCAGCATGTGAAGACAAAAGAATGGTAACTCACATTTGTTTACAATTTTTATTATTTATGACGTAATTGATTGTTGTCAATTATTTTATTTATTATTTATTCAATCTATGGGTCATCTACATAATTGTGCATTGAATAAAAAAATAACTCTGACCACAAAAAAATAAATAAATAAATAAATAACAGCTCAGATTTGCGTCTAATTTTGATGGATTTTGCTTTAACAGTGTTTGTAACTAAATATCTCTATTTAATATTTTATGTGTGCTGTAATTATGGGGTAGTATTTTATGATAACTGATGCCTATAATTTATAGCCATATTTTTAATTAGTCGCATCAGTGATGAGATTATAATTATCGGTGTGGATAATTAATCCTGCACTGTGATCAACCGGTCATATATTAGGCATAGCATAATGTATTGGCTATATTAAAGGGCCTTAAAAAAAAAAAATTATGACTTCTGATTACACGCACAGATCATAGAACATTGTGTCATACATTGCCAGTGGATATTGTGATATTTGATGATACGTCAAACAAGTCCTACTTGTGAGCTCAGAAAAGAAGGTCAGGTCAGGAGGTCATGAAAGACATGAAAAACTCAAAGAATCATGAGTAGAGCTCCCATTGAGAAGATCGTAGCAGAACCGACCAGAAAATAACTGGATGACTGAGAAAATTGAGCCCAATGCATGAAACTCTCGACCAGTCAAGATTCTCTCCTAAAATCAAGGAGGATCCCATGAATAATTGACAAAGATCTCGGCNATTGGCAGATGGCAGTGACTGCCTTGTTGCTGGTGGATATCTCACCATTACCCGTGGAGCCACCAGCGGGGGCTCCAGCGTTCTTGTTGTTGATACCAACCGCCACTGCCACCACCATTGCAACTAGGAGAACTGAAGAGAGACCAATAATGGTAACCTTCTTCTTCCCTGAACCATCACTATACCCCATTTTGATTTACTATGTAAATCTATGAAATATTTATTTTTTCTCTTTCTATAGGTAAGAGACAGAAAAAGAACTAAGCTCTTGGGGTTCTCTCTTTGTGTAGAGTCTTTGAAACCCCTTGGGCTCTGATTTCCAATGGGTGATAGGTGACCTTTATATAGTTTTCAGATTAGATAGGAGAGAGAAATATAAGCCACGAAATGAAAAGAGGGTAAATTTCTGTTAGAAAATGTAAGGTTCAGAATTCCAACAAAATATAACTTTGTTAGGTTTGGTTTTTATCGGCAAAAATTATATTGTGCTATTTACGGGAGGTTGAATTTTTAATTGTTCTAATTATAGTATTATTGACTTTTGTCAAATCTATTGAATATTTTATTTAGGATAAATAAATCTTTTAGGGGTAAATAAATCTCTTGAATTTTAGATTAGGCCAATGAAACATTTCAAGTCTTAGCGGATTTGTGTCAAAAAATAGTTCACTTATATATGATTTATTTATTAATTCATGTTTTATGAACTGTATTATATCAGTTTCGTGTCATGTATTAATCGTATATGCAGGAGCTGATGTTCTGTGTGTGTGTGTGTGTACATAGGAGTGCATGTATTCATCCATATGTTAAACAATTATACAAAGAAAAGGCTAAGAGTAGAAGGACTAAAATTTCGGTTCAATGCATTGTTTTGGTTAGCTAAGAAATAAAAATATTTCGAAAACAAGATAGAAATTGAAAAAAAAATTGGGAATTTATTTTAAAATTATTATAAAACATTGGTCGAAATATATCGAAACATTTTAAAACTCGTTGAATCATTCCGAAACAATGGTGGAAACATTTAAAAATTGTAAGAATTAATGTGGCCCACATGGCGCTTGTGATTTTACCAATTATTATCCGAAAATTAATTTGGGTTAGATAATAATAAAATTACCAATCCTTATTTAACCGATTTTTGAGTTACACCAAATGATGTTCAAGTCTTAATCAAATAATTCTAGGTTAGTTATTATGGCTTCCGATATTTTGATTATGATGTTTTAATTTTGCATTATGATTATTATAAGTATGTAAAAATCATGATTAATCCAAATATTAAAATTAGGATTTGATTTATCTCTTTTATCAGAGCCTGTGTTATGAACTCTCGCAGTTTTCCATTAAAGAAACATTAATTAAATACTTTATGTTGTCGTTCCTTTGTCAAACCGCAGCTGTTAGGATTGCTTGTAATTTGAATTCTTGATTGGTATTTAACCCTTGTCATGTCTTCACCTTATATAACCTACAGTGCAGCATGTGAAGACAAAAGAATGGTAACTCACATTTGTTTACAACTTTTATTATTTATGACGTAATTGATTGTTGTCAATTATTTTATTTATTATTTATTCAATCTATGGGTCATCTACATAATTGTGCATTGAATAAAAAAATAACTCTGACCACAAAAAAATAAATAAATAAATAACAGCTCAGATTTGCGTCTAATTTTGATGGATTTTGCTTTAACAGTGTTTGTAACTAAATATCTCTATTTAATATTTTATGTGTGCTGTAATTATGGGGTAGTATTTTATGATAACTGATGCCTATAATTTATAGCCATATTTTTTATTAGTCGCATCAGTGATGTGATTATAATTATCGGTGTGGATAATTAATCCTGCACTGTGATCAACCGGTCATATATTAGGCATAGCATAATGTATTGGCCATATTAAAGGGCCTTAAAAAAAAAAAATTATGACTTCTGATTACACGCACAGATCATAGAACATTGTGTCATACATTGCCAGTGGATATTCGTGATATTTGATGATACGTCAAACAAGTCCTACTTGTGAGCTCAGAAAAGAAGGTCAGGTCAGGAGGTCATGAAAGACATGAAAAACTCAAAGAATCATGAGTAGAGCTCCCATTGAGAAGATCGTAGCAGAACCGACCAGAAAATAACTGGATGACTGAGAAAATTGAGCCCAATGCATGAAACTCTCGACCAGTCAAGATTCTCTCCTAAAATCAAGGAGGATCCCATGAATAATTGACAAAGATCTCGGCTGAAATCTCACAGAATAGGGAGCAACATTATAAATACTATGTAACGCCGCTTCGAGAGGAGAGGACCCTAGAAAAACCCTAATTAGATCATGTATTGTACTGTCATACATTCAAGTAATCAATAGAGAAAAAAGGAGCAAGAGCCTCCATTAGAGAATGGATTAGTCGAGCTTCAGAGCCGGTGAACCACTATATTCCTATTGTTCAAATTCCCCTACCCCCTAAGAAACACTTCATCACTGTCATTACGAAGTGGGCAACCTAGATTCATCTTTGGTCTCACGCACTCTGTTCACCCACGTTAGTCTGCACCATCAGTTTGGCGCCGTCTGTGGAAACGACTGTTCTTGTTACAAATAAGCTAATCTCTCAGTGACTGATGGTATCAACACGAAACATGAGCAGAAGCCAAACAAACTCACCTCGGATGCAGGATCAAAAGGGAGCCACCGATGGCAGACAGCCCGAGAACGTCCCAGAGACTGATCCTCCCATAGGGAATCCCCCCACGAATAACGAGATAGAGGCCCTTCGCTTCGTCAATCAACGCTTGTTAAAGCAAAACGAAGAGCTCTTGAAAATCTTACAGCGCCCACAAGAGGCACGTCCGGCCCAAGAAGGTCAGAACAATCCCGTCACAGGGATCAACAACACCTTAATCCACTCAGAGAAGACAACAAAGGAGGC